AAAATTCAGATTTGTGAAATACTCTTCGCAGTGATGGCTTCCGCGTTCGCTGTTGTGCTTGACAAATGCAGCGCTGAGGTAGTATGAGGCATAGTATTATATTAGTAGGCACACGTTATGTCCAAAAAATTCAGATTTGTGTTCTACGTTGTTTACATTTTGTGGTCATAAAATGAAATAAATACATAAATGTATAAATGGTTATACAAACATTTTTAACTGCAGAGTTTAGTAGACCGTAACAGAATACTCAAGCTGTTTCTGAGATTTCAGTTAATTGTGAATTAAACTAACCAAAACCACATATTTTATGTTCCTCGATGCAGGAAGCTTTTTATGCGATGCAGTTTGAATTTTTTATGTTTGAAAAAATGGATCAATTATATTTGGAATAAGGGAGGAATAAAATACATTTTGAATAAATAGTTCTAATCTTTGTACTTTGTTGATTTTGACGTACGACGACTCTCTTTGAATTGGATAGAAAAAGCAGTGGCGTTGTAGGTGAAAATAATAATGTAATTTTTGTCAAGATACCATTTGGACTAAAGAAGACAATTTAAGTCTGCTTGTGGTCGGGCCGAATGGGTGCGGAAAAACAGGCCCAATGGAGATTCTTGATTGGGTTGACGAGGTCATGCGCGAAGACGAAAATTACGCAAGGTATATCGAAATGGGTATTTAACCCGTTATATAACATAACGCAATAAACGCCTCGCATAATGCATAAGTGTGTAATATGGTGCTAATCATACCGAGATGATTTCTTCAGGATACGGGCACCAACAAAAGCCGGTCTGCAAAATTTGGTTTTTGGTTCAGATACCACAGGGGAAAGTCGAAAAAACATATTGCTCTACTGTGATGACTTTGAGCAGGCCGCGCACAAACTATTCAGCAATAAAGAGAGTGGCATAAAAGATTTTATGCTACAGATGCATAACGGATGTAAATGGTCGTCTTTAGATGGCAAAAATGGTTTTCTAGTACGTTAAATTTGGAAGTACGCGTCTTACCAAGGGAGCGCTATTTAACCTTTTTTTTGTAATAGGAAACTGATGACATATACTTTAACAGCCTCTTAGTGCTGCATCCGGATGGGTTTTTGAAATTGCTTAATTCGAAACTGGGGGTTATGGACGGGCTTGTGAGTAGACAGTTGGTTGTTGGTGGCGCTAAGTCTCAAGTTCCTGCAAAACTCGTTACCAGTTCTGCAAAGCAATTGAAAAATGGAAATATTGATATGGAAATTATAATGAAGTCGGCTTTAAGAATGGCCAAGAGCGTGTTTAATGGGAAGAAATTTCGGATGTCCAAAGAAGCGAAGCATTTTTGATCAAATTGAATGATAAATACATGTATGTGTTCAGATAAATCATTGGTTACACTATCGTAAAAAATATTTTTACAGTTTAGAATCAGAAGAACGTGAGCGCTTGGCGCCCACTTTGACGACCGCCGCTAACATTTTCTGCACTCGCGGCAGTAAACACGGCATAAAAATGTCAAGGCTGGCGTTCGTGACCCATGTTATGGTTGAATGTTTCGTAACGACATATCAGATTGCATTTGAGAACAGAGGGATTGAAATCTTGGAAATGACCAACGGTTTGTACAAGATCGTTCGGTATTATATGATTGATACATTTGGATTAGTATTGCGTTTTCCAGAAGTACTCATACAACTTGGTATCTGCGAATCTGTGACCCCGTTCTACGACCTTACAGAAAAAGCTAAGGGGGCTTACCTAACGGTAATGTTCGTTTATTTCATTTTTATTGCTTAAAAATTGGTTATTTTATTGCTTATTCATTTTTTATTTTTTTATCTTGACAAATCCTCAGCAGACAAGTTAACGTGTCTCGGAAAGTTGGCATGCTCAACGTATAAATAATATATGTTGGCAAACATATTTAGTGGTAATGTACGCGTTATTAATAGGAACTTTCTTATCCGACCGACGAAGCGGCTTTGGCAAGGATGACTACTTGTCCGTGGGTTAAGATTCTGCGCTTACCTGGAACAGCCTACCCTGCCGCATTTTTTAAAAAACGGAAATACGGAGTTGGCGCTGAAAATTTCGATCTCGATAATCTACATAAGCCAAATCTCGATAATCCACATACAACTCAACACAAGCGCAACATCAGCTGCCACAATTATCGGCACGTCTCACGATAAGCTGCCACATGAAAATGCATAAATCTTGAATTACGTGAAGCTATTGGAAATTTTTTTCAAGTGTCAGAGATTATGGTTTTGGTTGTAATCTCGCAGATCTACAGCCGTGTTTGATGGTGAGCGGCAATGAGCGCTACTAATAATTTCATAGATTAACCCGTTTAGGGTAAGAAGGGGGTTCCATTAAAGTTCCATTAGTTCCGGTAGTTCCATTGGTTCCATAAGTTCCGCTGCTGCAAATATTCGTACATCGTTCTTTGGCGAGAATAGTGTAACAAGGGTTACGCTAATCGAACCCAAAGAAACTACTGTGGGTTCGATTAGCGCCCTATCTCAGAGCGCCCTCCTTTGGCACCTGTGGAACCTGTGGAACTGTATTGGAACTTATTGGAACTGATGGAACTACTGTACATCGTTTAATTGCGCCCTGATGTGACACCTGTGAAACCAATGGAACTCTATTGGAACTTATTGGAACTGATGGAACTACTGTATACCGTTTAATTGCGACATTTTGTGACGCCAGTGGAACCTACGGATCTCTAATGGAACTTACTGGAACTGATGGAACTACTGTACATCGTTTAATTGCGACCTGGTGTGACACCAGTGGAACCTATGGAACTCTATTGGAACTTATTGGAACTGTTGGAACTACTGTACATCGTTTAATTGCTACCTGATGTGACACCAGTTAAGCCTGTGAAACTTTTTTGGAACCCGTTGGAACCGAAGGAAACACTGCAAATATGCCTTCGGGCTCTTATGCTATCTTTACCTGTTGCTGTTGAAACCTGTTGAACTAAAAGTTACTTCAAAAATTGCTGTAGTTAGAAGTATTTTCGAAAATAATGTTAGTGAGGCGTACTATAGCTCACAGAAACTGAGGACATGAGACATCGTTTGCGAATACTGATCGTAATTTTATTACCTCATTAGTAGCAGGAGTGAGCAGTTTAAACTTTGTAGCAGTTTGATGCTTTGAAAAGCTGAAAATACATATTATAAGTAATATCATCATCTGCTGAATGTTCATGAGTCAGAGCGCGTACTGGCTGCAACTTTTTCCAGATACAAGTTTCTGCGCTTAACGATCCTGTGTAGAAAGAAGAGTTGACGGTACTTAGTCATTTTGAACATAGCATGCTGGAATGCTCCCAGCCAACGGAATGTCTGCTCACAACTCTGTGTATTAGCACTGAGCAGGTTGGGATAGGCCGCCCGGATTTGGTCTGGATTGTACTTTGTGTGGCATTTATGGCCTTTGTGGTTGCCCAAGTGGAAGCCGTCGATTACTTTCGTCATCCCCTTGGTCCAAAGCTCGTCATATGGCGGTGGTAGCGAAAGTTTTGAAGCGTGGCTTTCAGTCGCTCCAGATTGCACATGTTATCATATGCCAAAAAAAGTTTTGGCCAGTCGCATGAGGGAACTGTTTGTAAGACCTGATACATCCAAGAAATCAGTATAAGGAATACCTGGGATGGAGACTCAGACCTGTAACAGGAAAGCAATGGTTCGGTACATGTGTCACTAACTGCCGAATCACCTATAAATACGCACTTATATATAGGAGAGAACATGTCGATGTGACCACCCGCTCGCACCACAAATATGTATCCTCGTGACCGAACTGGCTGCATTTTTGGTTCACCTAGGTTTTTTGTGCAAACCAGTTCACTTGCTGAATCATTGTTTTCCGGCATTGAGATTTCGTTCATGATTTCTACTTCCACTGTTTCGCCGGGAAGCGTCACTTCATCAGCGCAAAAGTTTTTCAAAACCCGGTCAGACGCTGCAAGAATAATCGGATAAAAGTACGATTCTTGCACCAATACAGAAAGTTTACCTTGAAGATGAAATGCGCTAGCTGCAGCATGTTGCAGCGTGACCTTTCTTTTGTTTGTTGGAATATTCGCCAGTTGTGCAGCAAGAGAATGTGGCCCGCAATACATTTCGCCACGTTTAGACAACGGTTCTTCTGGACAAATATTTGGAAAGTTTACCAGCTGAACGTTTGCAACGGTATTCTAAAAACTTTTAATAGATAAGGTATTCTCTTTATTAGGTTATTCTACGCTCTGGTGGTCCTGTCATGGTCGCTGTGACTTAATTGTATACATGCTGAGCAACACGATCTTTTGATTCCTGCTAAAAGTCACTTGCCTGCTGAACAAAAGCACAGTGCTGGAAGTGTGCTTTCCAGATGCCGTCAACCGAGAACAACACTCCGCAACCTCTGGAAGCGCACGCCGGATGGCAGACATGAGGGTATAGACGCTCGCATCGAAGTTTGTCGAGTTCAGGAAAAGCTTGGTCAACGTCCTTGTCCGAAGAGAACCCGAAATAAAGCAAATTATTCTCCCGAACTTCATTTTCCGTTTCATAGCGGAAAAACGCTTCGGACACGTTCTGTACATCAAATCCTACAAAGTAGATAAAAGTTTTCAAGTGAAAAAAGCCAATGGTTTTGGGAAAATTTTACCGGCAGCTTTTCCGTATGTCTCGAGGTACGTTTCGCAGAACCCGTTGAATCTTGAAATGCAATCTTGAAAAGGAAGTTGTAAAACAAAGTTGGCTTTACTTGGCAGTTGTGTAGCAAAGAAGAGAAAAGAGCACTATTTCCAGTGTAATCAGTTAATTTTAGTTTTGTTAAGATAAATGTGATTTATTTATAAGGTATTTAATTAGAGCACTTACACGCTTTCTACTAAGAATTTGCATAACGTTCTAGACCAATAAGTTGTCTGGGTCACGCGCACATGCGTTCGTTCGTGCTCGTAAAAGCGGTATTTGCCACCCTTTTTGGATTGAAACATGTCGTACTTGTATATACTACGGCAGGTTGGACATCTATACGATAGGCGAACGAAAGATCGGCTCATTCCGTTAATGTCGTGCAGTGTGCCCTGAAAAAATGCTTCGGGTACTGTATTTTTGCCGCAATATTCAGTTGTATTTCAAAGCAGTTAATAATAACTAATAAATACCGATTGAAATTAACGTAAAAGTGTGTGTACTCAAGACAGTAGACAGTTCACTGAACAAGAAATATAACTAACGAGTTGTTAGTAACTGTGACTACGTAAAGGTATATATTTACCCAAGCTGGCTTATTATGAAGACCGAGTTCCAAAGGTAGACCTGTTTTAGAGCCCCTCTGGTACACGCAGCCTTCCGTGCACGTTTTCACTGGAGGAGTAATTACAACGATACTCCTTGGATCCGATGGCGAAATCAAATCAAGGAGAGACGGCGCTTCGTTCATCACGTGGATATACATATCTCTAAGCCGATCAGGTGCCAGCTGTACACGGTGTGCAAGTTCCTACATGCAGTATATCATTTATTACAATGATATTGCAGTAGTTAATTAAAAGCAATAGCTAACTAATATTTCAAAAAATATGTAGATACATCACACATTTTGGCATACTTCCAAAAGAACCGTATCCATAATGTCCAGTGATCGGTTTGCTGTGCAAACGGTGCACAACTTCAGGATTTCGTCCAGTGAATACTTGCTGAGTAATAATCTTAAAGAACCGTTCTGCTCTTCGTATGTCATGATTTTCACTTTATCTACAGAAGCAGTTCATATCTATCAAATGCACTTGTACGTTCTGATTAAACAGTAAATACCATTACTGTCAAAATAATTTTTTTCCATAGCAAAACGTTCGAGACACACTGCATAAATTAAGGTCACGTAATTTTCCTGATTTTACCGATAAAGCTCTTGAGGACTTATTAAACGTCGGGCAGAAACTGTTGAACTGCTCAAGTTATACTGCTGTATAAGTAGCTGCTCATGTGATACTGCTGTATAAAGAGCACTAAAGGACAGACTATATATTCCAGCAGCGAGCTGTGCCACACTGTTGCCCACATAAACAGCCCTATGTGGAGAATTGTGCTCACCTTTTAGTCAGTACTTCACCCAAAAGTCCAATCATCATTGGGGAGGGGAAGGCTGACTGCACTTTCACTGCACAGCGAGCGCCAAACTCATCGACTGGCCATGAAATCACAGCTACAAAGGCAGTATGCACCCATAGATCGTTTATTAGATTAGGTATACGTAATACTATTACTGTAATCAATGCAGTACCAGCTTAGTCAACATATAATTTGTCATTAAAGTGATTAAACGTACTTCTTGTACAAATAACCAGGCTGAAACACAGTAAACTGTATCCAACCTTGAATTTTTTTTGTGGGAACGTGCCAATAAAAATGAGCCGTAAATTGTAATCCTTTGGAAACAGCAAGTTTTTTGACAAACGCATTCTAATTAAATAATTAAGGAAGTTGCTGGCATTTGTAATTTGGCTTTTGCATCCTGTGAACAGGCTTACAGATACTTTCTAATGTCTAACCAATCGGCTTCAGATTCGTTTTGTGTAAGTAGCTTATGCGTGTTTGTGCACAGTCTACTAATAACTGGAGGAATTTAGCCGCTTATAGAGTAGCGCTTTATTACAGTTCACGGCAGCTGAATACCGGTTTAAAGAGAAGGATGGTCGTACCTATTATTTTAAAAAGAAGGAAAAACGAGCAGTGGACGACTGGATTATGGCATTTGTGTTAACGCCCATTGCAGAAGTGGAAGGAAAAACAACAGAATCTGGAACGCTGTTTGAAATGCAGGACGACAGCTGCACGAGGTACAGATTTATTTATTATATTATATGCACTATTGTATGGTATCTGCGATTCTACGGTAGCCTAAACTCGCGCTATAACTTGCAACTCGGTTTACATACAAGAATAGCGCAGCTCGTACCGTAACCCTCAGACTTTTAAAACTGATACTGTAACGATAACGGCGGCGAACCTAAATGGCCTTTTATACGCTTTAGACGATCAGGTACTTATATTTTGTGTATATCGGCCAATTCTGGTTTGCAGGAAGGTTTACATTCGTAGCAAGTCGTGGAACAATTTTAAAGATTTCTCCTCGGATCTGCATATCAAAGGCGGCTCGTCCGCGTTTTCCAACATGAGCAACAAGGTTCTCGCCAAGTTAGGGGAGTGGTATCACCAACGGTATATTGAGTACGTAAAATATATTGAAAAACTACATAAGAAAGCTGTATATAAAAAAACACAACAGAAAGTATACTAATAATAATGGATCAAGTGCTTTTGTGATGTTATTATGTAGCTACACAGAAGTACTAGTATACATGTAAGGACTGGACGCAATGAAGCACCCATTTGTGGGGACGCAACGCACATGTATGCATGTTTTTTCATTTCTTACAGGAAATGCGAAGACAAAGAAATTCCGCTAAAGCGGCAAGCGGTTTCGCACCTGGGACTGCAAGAAGACGGTGTTACTTTCGTTTTTGGTCCGGACATAATTTTCGTCCCTTTTGAGGGTGGAATGGTGTTAGCCGACACCGATAAATGTGCATATGTGTGGACACCTTTGTCATCCGTTTTAATTCCCGCACTGTCGAGGTCTATCAAGGAAAAAAGAAGGCCAGACTGTTTGCCATTATAAGACAACATTTGCCATTAGATGTCTACTACACCTTCGTACTAATGTGTGGTGAGTGAAATATTTATCACTGTTATAAAAAGATATTATTGTAACCATATCCACTGATATCGCGTCCACCAGAATTTACTTTAATCATTTGTATTGGTTGTCTAAAAAACAGAAATACTTTTAAATTGAATTTGTATAAGTTTGAATATTGGAAATAATTTTTAGCACATTCTTGGATCAGCATGTTTTACGGAGTCCTGATCAGGCACTTCAAAGGTTTGCAAAGCTTGATCGTAGTAGGACTCCCAGACACGTGGAAAACGCTCCTTCTGAATCTGAGCGTGTCAGTTTTCGGGACAAATATGGAAGACATTTGCAATTTAGGGGAAATAACTGATTCCGCAGGCCTTGATCGCTGGACAAAATTGCACGTTCCTTTAATAATCCACGATAATCCATTTCCTAAGCTAATGCCACGTATATTTGGATGCGTGTACGAAAGAAAACTATATCTAAACTATCGCAACAAAAACAGCGGTGGTGTGCATCCTACTTCGTCTTGTGCGCTTACCATGAATTCCGATGGCCTGGATGATATCGCTGCCGCAACTAAAGACAAGTCAGTCTCAATAAATTTCGCTCTTTAAGCTCTGTAATCTACTCGATTGTGCCATCACGCACGAAAACCTGAGATTTTTAGAGAATGCGGACATTGAGTCGGGTAGCTATTTTGACCATGGATAACGAGATAACCGACATCGATAACACTGTTTTCACACTTCTGGAGCAAGCGCAGCAACGTGCATCCAAAGATGTTCGGAAACTGCTTCATTTTGGCGAAGAAGGATGCCGTGAACTGACTAATGCGGTTAATGACAAATACGAAATCATCAAACCAAAACTATTATCAGCGGGGATGGTTAGCTGCACTCACCGAATTGCAACCTTATACTCTATACTGTCGTCTGTTGGGGATATGGTACTATACAACGTTATTTCCATAGCGCTAGATGACTCTGCATCCATTATGTTTTTCCTAAATATTTCTGCAGATTGCCCGTAAAGTTGCTTGCGAGTACGACCAAGAAGAAGCTCTCCAGTGCCTGCTACGGCATATTTCAAAAGCCGCGCCATATCAAACTTTACCGCGCAATGGTTTGACCGCGCGTACAACGCTATCTTTACTTCCCGACCGAAGCAGCTGCTTGGCCAAAGGAAGTTTTGCTCAACTGATAGAAGCACTACGCAAGACAACTCATGCCGAAAAGGTAAGTTGCTCAACGATGTATTTCGTCAAGTAAACTGCTCACAGAACATGTGACACAAATTATCGAAACTGACACCAGGCTAAAAAATCTTATCTAAATACTACAAATGTGATTTAGTCTGTACGGTAAAGTAGTGTACTTACGCTTTGCACTTTGTTATATTTAGATGACAATGCCTAATAAAACGCCCTTTACAGTACAACAAAATTAATTATCTAGTTCTCGAATTCATTATACAAATTTGACGATATATTCTTTCAGATGAATACGTTTTTTAAGAACGTTCTCTCGGTGAAGTTTGAAGATATTGCGGAAGACGTGCTTTGTTTGGCTGTTCGGAAGGACTTGTTCCTTGATGCAACAAAAGAGGACCCGTTGCAACAAAATCGCTGGTGCATTGACCAGATTGCTTGGGCAGACAAGCAGCACCAAGTGAATCTGAAGGGTGTGCGGAGGCGTTGCTTAATTTTGCCACGCGAGCACTTTACTTCAGAGCAACTTGCAAAGATTGATGGTATCGTCGGTGCTTTGCAAGTTTCCTTAGACGAAGCGCCCGAGGTGAGCTTGGCCGGTAATCCTGCTGCTGCAACATGTAAAGCGAGGCCACATTTGGATGGTAAGACCGGTGTACACTTAGGCCTTGTCCTGAATTCAAAGCGAATCTCGTTGCGATACAGCAGCTCCACCTTGGTGTTGAGTCTGCAGCGAATTTATCGCCTAAAGTTAGTATGAACACCCAATCCACTGGAGGCTGATTTGGCCGTCAACCGTAATTGGCTGCACTAATCAACAGCTCCGTAATATGCCAGCTGCAGTATATTACATGACGCTACCTGGCTACCATCATACCTCGGTTGGCGGTTGCGCATGCTAGGAAAGGCAACCATCCACGGTTGACGGCTTAATAAGACTCCAGTGGATTGGGTGTTCATACTAACTTTAGGCGAAAAATTCGCTGCAGACTCAACACCAATCCTCCTTGTACTTTTAATTGTGGATTTAGCTTCGCAAACGTCCAGCGGCATGGGAAAGCGCAAAAGCAGCGCCATGGAAGCTACTGAATCTGGAACGCAAAATGCTAACATGGATCAGTCACTTCCAGCTAACGACAGTGACTTCTCACCACTATCTAGCAGCACTCCAAAGAAAATGACTGTAAAAGGTAGAGTTTAACTAGAAACTATAAATCGAGCTTGTATTTAAGTTTCTTCGAAATTTTATAATGTTACGTTACGCTGCAGATAGAGGCCACACAGGAAACAAAATTCGATCATTTTCCGCTTCCGTTGTTTCTGAAGGTGAATCGTAATGACTTGCTAGTGAAGCAAACTGTACATAACTATAAACCTTCGACCTGAAACTCACGGAAGTTTAATGCAGATGATCCCGAAGCTACAAAACGTGCCATTCATCATCGTTTCGGAAAACTCAGCCAAGACGACACCAATGTAAGCGAATCCAACAAGATCATAAAATGCGGGAAGTGTCATGCGGCTCTTATTCCGGACAACAAAGATAAACCGTGGTTGCGCTGCACAGTCTGCCAACATGCGTTCCATCATATGTGCGCATCTGTCACTCGTGTTACCCGATCAGGAAAACCACCACCAAAACAGAAACCTTGGAAATTTCCGTACTGTTCTAAGCGATAAAAACTAATTACTAATAATTATCGATTAATTATCAATTAAATATGAAATATCGATTTTTGCAGTTAGCTCTTCATATGCTTAGCTAAAATGCTCTAAATTATAGATTTGATTTTCTGCAGTGCTTCTGTGTTTTCCCATTTTACCGAATTAATTAGGCATAAAACGTCGTAAAACCTTTCCTAATGATATCAGCTTGAGCATCACCGGTATTTTCTAGTAGCGTTAGCTACTAAAATATTAGAAACATAATTAGAAACCTAGTAAATACTGATATTATTTTCAATGAGTTCTAACAGCATTCGATGCTTCCCCTTGGTATCACAAAAGGGCGCAGTGCTGTTAGTTTCAGAAATTTTAACAGTTCCAACGGGTTCCATAGGTTCCAGTGATGTTAAATCAGGTCGGAATTAAACGATGTACAGTAGTTCCAACAGTTCCAATAAGTTCCAATAGAGTTCCATAGGTTCCACTGGTGTCACACCAGGGCGCAATTGAACAATGTACAGTAGTTCCAACAGTTCCAATAAGTTCCAATAGAGTTCCATAGGTTCCACTGGTTTCACACCAGATCGCAATTGAACGGTGTAAAAGTAGTTCCAACAGTTCCAATAAGTTCCAATAGAGTTCCATAGGTTCCACTGGTGTCACACCAGGTCGCAATTGAACGGTGTAAAAGTAGTTCCAACAGTTCCAATAAGTGCCAATAGAGTTTCATAGGTTCCACTGGTGTCACGTTAGTTCGCAATTAAACGATGTACAGTAGTTCCAACAGATCCAATAAGTTCCAATAGAGTTCCATATGGTCCATTGGTATCACAGGCTGTTGCAGCGTCTAAATATTCGAAATCTTTGTTTTCGCTTTTAAGGGAAGGTACAGGGAAGCAATGTCTTAGTTACCCTAAACGGGTTAAACTCTCAATAATTTTAGTCTATGGCTATCTTGCCGCAGTAGCGCAATAGGGGTCTTAATTGCCCTCAGAATGTTTTGCCGCACACTGCGCCGGAATAGCCAGTTGGCTATTTTACCGCACACTGCGTTAAAACAGCTCGTTAGCTATTTTGCCGCACTATGGACGGGAAATGGATAATTATAATAAGGGACACTCGGTAATAAGGGGCATCTCTGCCAACACATTCCCTTAAACTGCCGCACTAGTATCGGCTCCCTCGGCATCAGATTGCCCGCACTGACAACCAGTCCGAGCAATTTTTTTGTCCGCCATAACGAACTAACACCAGACAGATATTAGTCATTCACTGCAACATTTGCGTAATGCGCGTCTATACCCGTCCAAAATGATCGGCGGTCGTTTTGGACGGTTACACACGTTTGTAGCCAGCTGACACTTTAGTCAGACCACAGTTAAACGGACGGAACACCCTCCGGGCACGCATGGACAGCAACCTGAAGAAGGGCGAGCATCACAAACGCCCGCTCGGTAAACCGAGCGTCCCGGTGGACACTGCGGACCAAGCTGAGCCGGTGAACCCACAATCCGGAGAACGAATAGCGGAAACCGCAGTGGGTGGATCGTAACCCGGCACGGCTGCCAGATCACCCGGCCCGGATGGAGCGGACCAGCTTACATCAACGGTCACTCGGCAGAGTTCAACCGAGAGCTCAGTCGACCGCTTGACGGGCGAGTCGACCATACCGTCGCCGGTCGACATTGTTCGAGCCGGATTTGTACCAGTGTCTCTAGTAGACGGCAGCCCAAAATCGACACCAAAGGCGGTCAAAACTCGCCCCGAACGAGCCGGTATTTCAGACGCCGGTAGGACAGCAGTTCCAGAAACTTAGCGGGCCGCTGGACCAGGTCACCGATGGCACGATAGACGGACAATCAGCCCATCTGGGATTCCAGCTATCGGCTCATCAGCCGCCCGGTACAAGACCGACCGCATGAAGGCTAGCTGGGCGGAAAAGGATGCGACAATCAGCACCCTGAAAACGGAGAATACGGACATGGCAGAAGTAACCAACCGACTCCAAAAACGGGTGGACACTTTCGTGAACGAGGGGGCCTGCCTTAGGCAGGAGTGCAGCAAAAGAACCGAAGCGTTAGAAACGCTACAGCGATAGCTTCGGACGGAAACGAAAGAAGAGACGCGTACAAAGAAAAGCTCAAAAATCTATGGTCGAGTCAACCGAGTTCATCGCACTGACCGTCAAAGCCGATTCAGCGCTCCGAATTAGCCGGGTTGCTGTCCATGCTGCACTAAGCCCGTGTGCAAAACGGCCTGCTGATACATCCGGCCGAAAAGCTGTCCAGATTTCATCCTTCAGTATTGCATCATGCCGGACAGCTGTCCCGGCGAGAATCGCCGGGACGCGAAGCGCCCTGGTCGACGGGATGACCAGGTCGATGCCGACTGAAACCAACGACACGACCGGAAAGAGAAACTGAGAAGCCGGGCCGATGTCGATCGGATTTGACGCTGCGTTAGCAAATCGAATAATCAAATCGGCAACTGGAATATCCGTGGTGGTTGCTTTGGGGATCCTGGCGGAAACCATCAGAGGATGCCTCCAATGCGCTAGCTGCTGCCGTCTTCGACTCAGCATCCGCCGCCAACGGTGCAGCCAGGATCCATGGGTGCTCCTCTTTATAAGCAACAGCAGCCTGGGAAATTAAACGCTCTTGTTTACAGGACGACGGCGATAACGGCGCCGGCGTTCCAATCAGCCCAGATGACATATCTGCAGCAGCCAGATAACCAGCAGCCGTTGATGTACTGGTCCGGACAAATATGTGCTCCGGTGCAGCAAGGACAGTTGAGCGGCCAGATGGAGTCCGTCCAGCAGACAGGATGGCGACCGGCTTGACTAGACGGAAACATGGATTTCCTCTAAACCGAATGACGGATTCGACTAAAGGCAGGGGAACGAGACAATCAAATCGCCAAACAGGCTGCAAACGTTCTTAGACAATATTTAAAGCGAGTTCCTTGGGCCGAAATTCCCAGACTGCCGGGATGGAGAAATTGACCACGCGGTGTGCCGTTGCCGGCTGTGCCTTTCCCGGCACTGCCGGGAGCGGCACTTCCCTGTGATAAATGGTGACCCAATGGACATGACTGCTAGTGAAAAAGCTCTCTATAAAATGCAAGCACGGTTCTACCGGTTTCGTATGCTATGACGGGGTGTATTTTATAAAGAACGACTGCCCCCAGGGGCAATGTTGTATTTAAGGGGCAGAGGCACTCGTGTTAATAGGAGCGGGGTTGTCATAATCTATTTATTGCTATGACAGTTAACATGACATTAAAAGTACAATAAATACAATGCAGATAAAATTTATGGATAAAATTAACTTGTTACTAACTGCTTTTTTTGAAAAAATGGTCGAAAGCAATCGTTGTTTACTAATTGTAACGCCTTCAAACGTTAACGTTGGTTGTTATTATCTAACTGCATCAAAGTATATCCGGCTTACGGTAAGTAAAGACAGTACCGTAACTGTGAGGAGCCGGAGCTGAATGTTGTGTCCAGGTTTTCTACACCGGTAAAACTGCGTTCGGTCCCGCGGAAAGTGTATATAGCCCTTATAAAATGGTGAATGCTATAAAGAGAACCCCCTATGATATACTCTACGAGACAATCCTTAGGGGTGCGAATGTTATACAGGAGTGCATTTAATAAAGAAGTGTATTTAAAGAGAGGTTTTACCGTACAACAAATTTCTTGTTAACCGGCATGGGGGACATTATTGCCGGAACGAATTCATAGTTGTCCGGCATGGGGGACATTAATGCCGGAGTGAATTCATAGTTGCCCGGCATGGGCGACATTAATGCCGTAGTGAACTCACAGTTGTCCAGCATGGGGGACATTATTGCCGGAACGAATTCATAGTTGTCCGGCATGGGGGACGTTAATGCCGGAGTGAATTCATAGTTGCCCGGCATGAAGGACATTGATGCCGGGGTGAATTCATAGTTGCCCGGTATGGGGGACATTGATGCCGGAGTGAATTCATAGTTGCCCGGTATGGGGACATTAAACCGGAGTGAATTCATGGCTGTCCGGCATGGGGGAGATTATTGCCGGAACGAATTCATAGTTGTCCAGGACTCCGACATTAATGCCGGAGTCCTGCATTTCGTTGCTGGTGTCCCTTCGTTGGCCCTGTTCAGGATGTGGGCCGCAACTGAAGCGCACTCTGGTTGCTATGTGTGGTGCTGCTTCTGGCAATGGTTCCGGTATGGTCCTGACGTTGATCAGGCCCAAGTAGTACTTTTGCCATATACTGGCGGTTACGCCAGGATGTTGGACCAATTTCTTTTTAAGTTTTATAATGTCATTGAAGATGTTCGAGCACATCCGTTGGAGTGCTTTTGGAGTTTCCATGTACTGTATTTTCACGAGTTTAAGGAACACGAAATTGACCTAGGTCTGCTTGCAGAAACCCGGGGCGCGCAGCTACGTTCAAATCGGTTCACCTGCGTTTGCGAGTCTGCGACGCATCAAAAATGCGCACACCAGGTTGGCTCCATCAACTCATTTAATTCTCGATCATCTATTACTGTGGATTGGAATTAAAATCATATGTTTTTTGTTTACTGAATATCCACATAACTATTTTACAAATTATGCTCATCACTGAACTCCAAATCACCAGATTCGTCTAAATTTAGTTGACAACTGATATCGAGACAACTTTCATCGTTAAGGGCAGCTTCATCGTTCGGTTTGTCCTCTGGCTTTTCGATTATTTTTGCTGCAGCAAAGGAATTAATAATGGTTTCTGGTTTCACCTTTTCCCATGTCACGGATACGAAATTTAGGATATCCTGACGGGTAGGATTTTTCAGGTACCCCGACTTCGTAGTTTCGTGGTGCTGTTTTCGCCAATATCGGTATTCGTCCTGATAATATTGCTTAACAGGCTTGTTAACGCCGACGTCTAGAGGCTGATGGTACCCCGTCATAGCCACAGGAATAAACACTTGGCGAATATTTCACTCTTCAAGAAGATCCGCCGACGACTGCATCTTATGCACAGAAAACTGATCGCGCACCAGCATTTTTGGATATCCAACAATGTCAAACGTTTCAGTAATCCATTTATGATCCAACTGCTCATTCCACCAAGATGATTTTGAGCTCACCACTTGCACATTTTTCGGGATAACCAACTGTTGCAATATTCTTTCTGAAAGAACTCCGGTTTTTGGATTGCCTTTAAAGACGATTATTGCAGGCAGTATTTCTCCGTTTCCAGCCACTGCCAAACTGATTGTAAACCGGTCTTTTTCTCCAGCCGCAGTTACTACAGAAACTTGCTTCGCTCCTGTCTGGTTGATAGTTCTTATTTTGGACGGGACGTACTTGACGTTAGTTTGGTCAAAATTCAAAATGTCTTTCGCAGGTGTTTGCTGGATATCCACATTTTCAACCAGCTCTTCGAAAAACCGTTCTTGATCTTCCTGCAGTTTAAGGTAAAAATTAGATATTAATTCAGATTTTTTCTTTATGCGTTTTTCTATTGTATTAATCGAAAAACATTTTAATCAGATGGCAGCGTACAAGATCTTTTTCAGAACACTCTTCCTTCCGTCATGTGTGCGTTACTGCGCGCGAAGACAGGTTGTTCCGAGACATAAGTTTGGATATCCAGCCTGTGGAGGCGTTGAAATCAAAAATCCCAGACTCCTTTGCAATTTCGAACGCTTGATTTCGAAGATCGGTGCGAGTTACAGGATATCCTTTCTGGCGTTCGTCGTCGACCCATTGTCGCAAATCTTCTTCCAGCTTTGGATATCTCGCCTGCTTTTCTGGCCTTCTCTTACGCGATTTTGCATCAGTTTCTCTAATCGACGGACTTTTATTAATAATAAATTTATTCTGAATATTTCAGAAGATTGTTCGATTAAAACAATAACAATTTTAAGTGATTGATCACTTACTCGTTGGATTTCCATCTCCTCATGCACGTTTTTGGAAGGTTTTTCTTCCGACAAAACTCTCGAAGGGACAATGTGCTACTCCGATAGCTTTTCAAATAATACTTAATCTCCCACTGAAGATAAGATCTGCGGTGCGATTTTTCCATTATCAACGCATAAAAACTTGATATCAGCAAATTATAACGGAATTAATTTAAAAATCAGTTATTCTGATTGCGATACTGCTGATTTTAGTAACTTTTAATTGAATTAACCACCAGTCAGCTGTTCGTGAACCGATTCGAAAGTAGCTGCGCGCCCCGCGTGCTTGCAAGCAGACCTAGGGCAATTTCGTGTCCCTTAAACTCGTGAAAATACAGTAATATTCTCTATAGTCCCACAATAGGGCTGACCCGGTTGGAGCCGCCGCGGTTGCTGTTCGGCTTTTACTGCTGATCGGTCAATGGCGGAAAGGCGGTTCTTTCGTTGGCGGGTGTTTGTAATCCCAGCGCTCCATACCGTTCTGCGCCGCTTTGTTGATTTCCGCCACCGTTCCCATTCCCTGAGCCGGTGGACTGCCTTCGGCTACCATTCCCCCCGTTGCCACGTTGTTGTCGGGGTTGTTTGGGTGGCACCAAGCCGAAGCGGTTGGGATTTAGTGCCCCTGTCGGGAATCCCTTCTGGTATCGACTCTGCAAAATCAAGTTACCATATCCGATTTGGATTGTCTATGTAATCTCTATTGGCGTGGCCGCATCCTTCAGTTTTGTGGTTTCCCCAGAGACAGTAGTTGCAAATTATGGTTCTTTCTCTGGCCCACCGTTCGAACATGCGCTCGATCCTATCGATGTACATGTTCTCTTGGCCTGCGCTGCCTTCTTGGCCACGTCGTCCGGAGCTACTATTGCCGCCGCCTCGCTTTCCGCTGAAGCTGGCGCTTTGACCTCCGCAATATCCGCCTTTTTGTTCTCCACCGTCACCGTTACCCGGGCTATAGCCAAAATTGCACTGGTTCTGGGCCTGGCCATAACCACCACCACCAACGTTAGGCGGTGTGGACCCACGTTGTGGCGCGCCCACCTTCATAGCCGCGATAGCGACATATGTTGCTTCAATTTGGGCTTGGGTTGGTGTAAGCGTCTGTGGAGTATAGTAAGCCGGTGATGTTGGCTGTTGGATGGAGGATAGTAAGCCGGTACGACTTGGGCAGGTGGCGTTGGTGCGGCCGCCCGGATGACCAGGTATCCATAGCCCGCCTTCCCGTCGTATTCGGGTTTACCTGCCGTAAACTGCCGAATATAGTCTCGAAATTCTGTGGAGACTTTGGCAGTCAGATGTTTTGGGCACGGCGCAGTTCCGGCTCAGTCATATTGGTCTTCGGGAAATGAAGAATCATTGTGTCGTCTAAGTTGGCGCGTGCCTGGAGAGTTAAGATTGCGTCACAGTACTGGTCTGGCGTCTCGAAACCGTGCCAGGAGGTACGATGCGAGAAGTCTCCAAGAGCATTGGCCTGTTGGTTCTCGTCGTCGTATCGAGCGGCAAACTTCTGAAGAAACTCGTCGTCTGTCCAGCCGACGCCTTCTTCACGCTTTGCCCGGCCCTTATACCATTTCTTGACCTTGGACAACGATGCGAAGATGCGGCTCATGAAGTCCGGGTCTGGCTTGTTAAAGTCGGACGACTGCTTACAGATCCTTCTGATCTGGGCAATCCACCCTTTCACGGCTGTCTTGTCGCCGTCGAAGGTCAGCTGGATGGTCCGGGCGTTGGTCTTTGCATTAGCCTTCGCATACGAGTCGGCCAGCATCTGCATGTGTGCCAGGTCATGCACTGGGGACTGGCACTTGGCAACGGTGCAGGCGTTATCTGCTGTACCACTACTTGTGGCGGTAGCTGCAGTGCCTATGGCGCTGGGCCCGGCTGATGCCCCTGTTGAGG